CAGCGAAAACTGCGACGAGCTTCGACAAAAAACGCGCGCCTCACGAGTAAGGCTAAAAAAGAGTCTATCGACGACTTCTTCGATCGGCACACGTGCAGAGAACCCACGGCCAGGACGATGGTAAAACTCTAGTTGCATCGCAAGAAGGCTCATTACTCCGAAGAGGAAAAAGACCTTGCGAAGCAGCTATATTACTACTTTGCATCGGCGTGCGTATACGCGTTTGAGGAATGCAGGTTGCTCATTTCCTTCGGAGAGTAGTGTACGCAACTGGATTTCGGAATTGATATTAAACCCGGATTTTGCGATTTCATCTTCGGAAAATTAGCCGATAAAATCTCGATTCTCCCGCCCGAAAATCGTGTGTGCGCGTTGAAATTCGACGAAATGAAAATCAAAACATTCGAAGAATATTCTGAGAAGTTTGATTGTATCGAGGGCCTTGTCGACCTCGGTTCTCTTGGCCGCAAAGACGAACGTGCTCGATACGTCTTTTTATTTTGCGTCGATAGCATCAATGCAAAAAATCCTGGGCGTCAACCGTTAGCATATTTTCTTACGGGAACCGGAATGAAGGCTTTTCATATTTACGAATCGCTAAAATAATGTTTATGCAGATTGTCCGCTGCAGGAGCTGAAGTAGTGCTTATAACTTGTGACCACGGTCCATCGAATCAAAGTCTTTTTGGCTCGTACCTCAAAGTATCAGCGGAAAAGCCTTTTTTTACGATTGGAGAAAAACAATTCTTCGCTTCTTTCGATTTCCCGCACCTTATTTAACGGCTGTTGAGCACTCTCCGTACGCATAAGGTGTTATATTGCAAGGGAGAGGTAATGGTCAATTTTCAGGACTTTGTCGGTGCGTGGGAGTATGATAATTGCCGCAGCACTTCTAATCTGCTCTCCCACATCACGAAAGCGTATTTGCATCCGTCATCCTTCGAGGCGATGAATGTCAAACGTGCCTTTCAAATGTTGAGCCATAAATTTGCCGCAGCCATATTAAGGGAGAATGGTACAGCTCAGCGAACTCTGAGTTGACGGTGCTTCCACGTGGCGGCCAACTGTGGAAATAAATGGACGGCGTGCACGGTGCTGCCAGGCTGCGCCGTGGCAGTTCATGCTACTATAGTATGACGTCATCGATTAGTCGCCTCAGTAGCGTTCAGCAATGGGATGTAGCGCGCCGGGCCCCAATAAGTATTTACATCACGGGATAAAGAGAATAATGATGAAGCAGCAAAAGATGCCTAAATTTCATTTATTCGATTATTATCTCAGAGAAATCGGAAATATTTAGGTACTGAGACTTTAGAAAATAATATAGATTTTTACTCACTTGCAAGACATGTCAATGTAGTTGTAATATAGCTTGATTTTTTGTGTAAATCTAATAATAAAATTACGGCGAGAAGCTGAAATTAGTGTTATTTATTTTACCACCAGTTTTAAAGTTTCTTTACTGTGAAAGTCACCAATATTCAAATAAGTGCCATGGAGGATGAGTGACAACTATAATTAATTTTTCACTTTCATATTTTCCATTATATAAAGTTT